CTTCTCATTTGATATTCTTATTATGGAACGCACACCTGTAATTTTATCGACGTGTATAATCTACGATCATTATCTTACCATGCAAATACGATGTGTTTACATTCAGAAGCGTTACATTGATCAACCAATATTTGACTTCTATAATCAGAGACAACCCCATCTTTAGTCTCCCCGTGACCACGACTGCAAAGCATCCGAAACGTCGAACCGTAGCTAAAAATAATTTTCAAATAAGTTTAACTAATATATATCGCGTTTTAAACCGTTAAAGAGTTCTATTGAAATGTGTACTACTCGCGTAAACTACAGATAGTATTCAAGGAAAAGTAGTCTTTAATATTGAATATGTGATGCCAATTTCTATGTGTATGCGTGTTTATAAAACTGGCCGTTATTGCTAGTAAAAGTTTAAAATGTAGACGGACACAGACGGTCCCCGTTGGTTGTAAGCTAGCAATGTATGGCTAACTAATCAACCTGTTGTGGTTTCGATATTCACTGAATCCGACATGTTTCTAATTAATTTATAATTATATCAAACCGTGCAGTTTAATTATGGCTTTCTGTCTGTGGATTTAAATATGTTCTAGTCCCGTAAACAAGAAAAGATAAATCTTAAACATTATGTCGCTTTGCAAAAAATATTCCTTGCGTTTACAATATTGAATAAAACTAATAATAAACTGTTTAATATTTACTTCAAAGAGAACAAGAACATTTTCTATATTTAAAAATAACCTTGTTTTTTATGCATCAAAAGTTCTAGATTATTTGTAAAAGAAAACCTATTTCTAGTCGGAACAAATAGGACTGATAGAATCTACTGTTTATGCCCTCGTCTATCCATCATTAACAATCGCACTTTGAACTTTTGCTTTTCAAATACGCCGTCGCCTCAATCTGTATATAAATCAAGATTTTAGGTCAGATGTCTATGCCACGGTGGAACGTGCGATGACTGGCCTATGTTGGCATTTATGTAACAGCTATATTTCGGTACGGTCACTATGAGGACCGTATTATTAATAGTGTATAAAATAATAAAAAGTTTGTCAACAATATCTTCCATCTACATCAAAACGCGCGAACATACACTTACTTAATTAAATTAAACACAAACAATACTCGAACTAACGAGTTTAATTTATTTAAAGTAAACATATTTGACGGCTTAAAACGCGAAATCTATTAGTTATGTTTTTGTCTTATTTATCTAACCGAATTGTGAGGTCATAGTTGAAATAAGATACTAAATTTATTTCACGTTTCAAACAGTTAAATGTGTTTATTTAATTATAACTCGCAATTAAAAGTTTTTGTATTCTTCAAATATATACTGAAATAAAGAAATAAAATAAGATTCTAGGTAGGTAAGGTAATATTCGGAAATAACTTCTTGTCCTATATGGCAAGGTACAAAACTTTAAAGTAGTGAGAAGTAGTGTCTTTAAGAAAATTTCTATTTTTCTCGGAAAGAAGAGAAAGTTGGCATTTCTAGGAACAACGCCACTGTATTCATGGCTCTTTTGTTTGTAGTCTAGGTAGCTACTTGGTTTTTTATTTATTTTCATGTTACTTATAATTGCAAAATTTATATTGTATTTCCTTTTGTTGCTGAAACGCGTAACTTTGAAATAACAACTTCTACTACTTTTTGATTCACGAAAGGCATGATGAAAATGCAAAGGACAAAGATTTAGAAGATTCTTTTATATCCCCAGAAATTAAGTGAAGTCTATAAAACCGAGAGTCCAATATTCTCTCGGGTCCGTGTGTACCTAAATCAACTAAGTAATGAATTTTAATAAAAAATGTAAGTAAGTAAGCTTATTAAACAAAAAACAATCCAATGTAAGTGCAATTCCGATGTTAGACAAAATTCGTGGCCGAAGTTAGTTTTGCAACTACAATTTAACGAACAGAATACGCAATCACAATTGTTAACGCAAACATAACTGTTGGAGAGTGGCTATAAAACGCCAAATGCCGTATGCTAGTGGTAAGTTGAAAATATCTAAATAGAATACTGTCTGTAGTTTACGCGAGTAGTACACATGGCCCGACGTTTTGGTCTCCCCGTGACCATGGCTGAAGTAAAATATCCGAAACGTCATAGGACAATTAAATAATTTTCAGATAAAGTAGTTGATCAGTTCTGTGCCTTGCATAGCTGAAACAATCTATCGATTTTGCGAGATTCAAGCTCAAAACCTCCGTGTTTAGTGCAATACTCGGGAATGCATTAAACCATTTTGCTACAGAGGCAGTCCAAATTTATCTGAGGCAATATTTAGAATTAGAAAATATTTATATAATAGATAAATAAAAAGAATAAACGAAGTGAGACGTGGCGCGTTGGTTTGACGCGTAGAATAACTACGCTACGTAGAAGCTCTATAATCGTTGGTCTTAAAGGTCTTACCTGAAAATACTGTTCAGAAATTAAACCTTAATTCTATGCGATATCTATGTGTTTTTGTTATATGTTTTGATTCAAAAAAATTCTATCTCTATTGCATAATATCTATCTAGAATATCTATCGCTTTTGTCAAATTTTTATAGTCGAAATAACAATAAGACAGAAATTTGTGGCTAACAGTATAAAATAAATGTATCAAATATGTTAAATCATCAAAGAGAACTGTAGACAATTAGTAATATTAGTAATAGTAACATTAAATTCCATCTCTCACTAAGTACTCGTATTATTAGGGAAGACTGTGTTACTCACGTTTCTATTTATTAGACAACGCGGTGAAACCTAATGAATATGAAGTACTCTAATATATTAAGATATCTTTCGCTCAATCGTAAATAAACCGTTTCTGTTCCTTGGAATATACAGCTCTAAACGCCCACGCACTACGGAAAGCGAATGACGTCACAGTCGCAGCAAATAAACTTCCAATTTAAAATTCCGGGAACATTGAATTTGAAAAGCGTTCTACATTCCTTTATAAACTGTGACTATGATACTGATAACCACCTTCGCGGTTTTATGGTCAAATGCCATTCAAAGCCAAAATGCTCATCGTGTCGAGATGTTATATGGCTGGCACTTTCCATAAATTACTTCTTGATCTTTCTCTATCATAAAAACAAAGCAATGCTTAAAAAGCGAGAGTTTTTGCCTTTCAATCCTGAGACTGAGAGACTAGTTTTGTTCGTGCATGGAATTATTTGTCTGTAAAAAAAGCGACACATGGGACACGAATTCAAGCATTTTAATCAACCGATAGGTTTATAACCAAGTTACCTCACTTACCACCAGGTTGAAAGAAATGAAAATAAAAATGTTATTAGGATTTAAATAAAACACTTAAACGGTTTAAAACGCGGTATATTAGTTAAACTTATTTGAAAATGATTTTTAACTTCGGCCCGACGTTTCGGATGCTTTGCAGCAGCCGTGGTCACGGGGACTTCCCGTTAAAGTGTTTTATTTAAATGTGTACTACTAGCGTAAACTGTAGACAGTATGTAATTAGCATTTTAACAATGTAATGTTGAAAATAAAATAGCATTCATTCATACATAATGTGATTCACAGTTTTTAAGAAATAAACAATAAATGCTCATTAAAAAACAAGAAAACTCACTTAAATCCCGTTAGTATATTAATTTGATGATAACTTTTCTACTTTATTACACCACTAGTGCTACTTGCACCGCAGTTGTAATAAACGGCGTGACATTAATGAGAAAAACTTAAACTTACGCTACCACAACGCAGCGTAGTTAATACATTTTATATTTTAATAAATATGTTTTGCAATGAACCTGGAAGGAGTATAATATGTACTTTATTATGAAATTGAATTAGGCTCCAACCCTATCCGTACAATAAAACCATCACAGTTTATGGGAGTCCATAGTAAATTTTCTTTTATTTTCCTAATAAAACCCTTTATATCTTTATTAACAATTCTGGAAGTTACGAAGTTTATTACGACTAGACAAAAATGTTAATTATATTTTGTTGACTATGTGTCATATGTTTGTCAGATTTAGAGGTAACCTTGTCGCCATTGCCTCCAATATGTATTCTGGTGTCACAGGTACACCAAAATAACGTTGAGACCGTTTTATGTAAAATCATATATGCGTATCCAGTAAATCTAGAATTGGTTGCTATTCGTCAGATTCTTCATTAATAAGGCTTGTCTACACTACAATTTTTTTTTTTAAATCTTTTACTGTAGACAAGACAAATTTATCGCAATGAAACTATAACCCCAAAACTTTCACTTTTCCTATTTTTATAACTCATAAATTACCTAATTCTATCAGTTTTCACACTCAAAATAAAAATAGTTTTATATACTATATACTTCGTGAAAACTGTGCAGTGATTTATACAGTTTTATACTAAAAAATAACTATTTTAGAATACTGATTTTTGTCTTCATTAACTTCTGTTATCTATGTATTTTTACTCGTACATACAACATACGTATTTGCATATTGTAGTGTCTACATTATTTGTAAAGACTAAAAACGATAAGTATGATAAATGCTATGAATTTTTGAAGGTCAATATTGCTTTTATGAGACAATCGTTGTATTATATAGGTGTGTTAAGTCATTTAATTATCGTTATGTTCAGTGGATATCGTTATAAATACAGGAATATTCTGTAATATGATATTTAATGAGACTCATAAAATTTAATTACGATAACGTTAATAATATAAGCTTAACTTGACACAACTGCGCCATATAAAATAACGTAAAATGTAATGAAATAACATTCTTTAACTATTTCAATGCTTCTTAAAAAAAACTTTATTTTAGTTTCGTTATGTATGCGTTAGGTTCGAATTTACATTGTGCAAAGTTGCACGTTCAAAAGGGATGAAACTTTCGATTTACTTTGACGATACAGCAGCAGCTAACTTAACGAAGCGCCGGCTCAGATTTCAGGCTATGTCATTGATTTTTTATTTTTCTCAGCAATCCTTTTTCAATGTGTTCTTATTTTTCACAGACGTAAATAAAAATGGCGGCAGGCGATGTGACACGCCGCGCTTCGATAACAGCGCCGTCTATGCACAGACGTCCTTCGGCAAGACGCGGTTCGCTGATAAAGAATCCACAGTCACCATCACAGGTATGGACATCTTATTATACATTTTAAGGATTGGTAGCTATATACCTATATGTTTAAATGAAACACTTTAACGGTTTAAAACGCGATATATTTGTTAAACTTATTTAAAAATTATTTTTAACTTCGGCCCGACGTTTCGGATGCTTTGCAGCAGCCGTGGTCACGGCTCCCCGTGACTACGGCTGCTGCAACCGTTAAAGTGTTTTATTTAAATGTGTACTACTTGTGTAAACTATAGACAGTATACCTATATGTGTTTACCAGAAATTATATTTCGTATATAAATTATTTATTAAATTTTGTTAAAAGTTACTATCAAAAGCTTTTCCTTTTCAGTAAAAACCAAATTTAATCACTACTTCACTACTAATATTATAAATACGAAAGTAACTCTGTCTGTCCGTCTATACTGAACCGATGAAATTTGGTACACAGATATTCTAGAGCCTGGGAAATGACATAGGCTAATAAAGGGATGTTAGAGGTTGAAAAGGGTAGCTTGTATGGAAATTCCAGATTTTTGAAGCTAGAACAATGAAACTTTCTTCTTTAACTTTTTGGGAATGAGAGTGAGAGTGGGAGTGAGTGTAGGAGTGGGAGTGGGAGAGATGTGAGATGACGTGAGAGTGGGAGTGTTGCGACACAGATTGGCTGCCTTGAATGCGCCTAATTATTTTTTATAGAACTTACTAATCTAATAATGCGAAAGTAACTATAAAAGTGTACTCAAATAAGCATATAAAAATACACTATACCATGGATATACTTACAATGAATACCTTAATAAGCTCTTTGCAGTGAAAAGTTGCATCTTATTGTGTACACATGTCTAATTCAGTTTATAAAATAAATAAATAAATAAATAGCCTAAATAGTTAAAACTTCTACCCAAAGATACTCTTTTCTATTTTTTACCACGTGAACGAAGTCGCGGGCATAGCCAGTTAAACATATGTCTGTGAAAATAATTAAGTAAAAAGTACATTGTATCTCTTAATTTACTTCGGGAAAGAAAAAAACTTATTTTAAGTGATTAATAAAGAAATTAATGATAAAACAAGAAAGAAGAACCCCACTCGTCATCCTGGTACATTTATGTGATCGCAGAAGAATATAAATGTAATAGCCATAAAATTTTTACTCTTTCTATAAAATGGTATAGTATCCGTTATAACTCATGCGGCACGCCATTTCAATATAAGAGTTTAAAGACTATAAATTTTCTCATCTAAATATCGATGGGTGACCTTTGAAAATTTTATACGATAAAATTTCTAGATTTACGGCTTGGTTCCTAGAAATTGTCTATTACATAGACTACGCTTCATTGCAATCTTTCTGTTTTCTTAGAAAATTATTATCTGTGTCAGTGAGAAGACTGGAAAGGGTTATTAAAATGTAGTCATTAATCAACCTTTACAAAGTAAGTAGAAACTATATAGTCTTGGTTACCTAGAGGAATTGCTATTTCAGAAGAATTAATATTAAAAATAAAATGTTAAGTGTATATTTATTTCCATTTCGTTTTCTTTTAATTGACTAGTACTAGTTGTGCGTGTACTACTGAATGAAATACTCAAAGTAGGTGAACACAGGTGTCGCCGGTATACAATAAATTGTTTCGGTTGAGAAGGGCATCGATCGGCAAAACGAACACAGAAAAGTATTCTCCTCCAGGCCCTAAAGGGAAAACGGATTTATTTATACAGGTTTTTTTTTTATAATACATAGAATCTGACGGGGGTAATGTGAAAGCTTAATTTTTTACATAATTTCTTGCTTACGAAAAAAGTATTGTTTGTATATGTGATTTTTCTTCATGCAAATATAAAAAAATATCGAAAAAGTTATTATAAAGGATGTTGATGAAATAAAAATATTTATAAGCCACAGTTGAAGGCCGAACCTTTGACAGGGAAGCCTACACTTAAGTAATTATCTTAATAATTAAGACTCTTGTATTAAGCACAGTAGGGCGGCTGATGAAGATTCCCAAAGCCGCTGATTTCTATATCTATTCACTTCAACTCTCTATTATAGTTTAAGCTTTACATTGCATTTATCTCGCTTACACTTGACGGCTTTTTCATCTTTACTCGGACGTAAATTCAATATTTTTACCACCTATTTAATATCCAGATTTCCAGACGAAGTCCAACATGTTTCAGAAAAAAATATTGATTAATTGGAAAAATGTCGGACCCGGCAGGGATCGAACTCACGACCCGTTCATTAATAGCCATATATCTACCACAATACCCGTCAGAATACCCGTCAGAACTTTCCGATCTTTACTTTAAATTATTATTTATTCTACATTATTACGTTAACAATTTTTATTAAGAACTAAGTTCATCGAACACAGGCTAATATTCAGAAATAGTTAATATTTTTAATCGAAACAATAGATAAGGCTTCATTCAATGTGAAACATAACCTCTTCAGTAAATGGATTCGCCAGGACCAACACAATGGTAGGGCATTTCCAAAATAAATCTTGGGCTCCCTGAGCCCGGGATTACCGACCCTCTTCCGATTGTTTAATCCGGCTAAAAGATTAAATGTACCTAAATTTGAGTTACAAGATTCGATACGGTTACAGGACCGCCCGATTCACGCACCTGTGAAGTTTTCAAAAGCAGTTGCGCTTTTACGATGAAATAAAAAAGAGATAATGTTTTTGAAGATGGTATAAAAATGTCTAATACAATAATAAGCTCATCTTGCCTAAACGGTAACAGTCGTTTCTATTTTTATATCATTACGTTTGTATAAATAATTAGAATTCAATCGACGACGGGCTCAGTTGTGTGTGGCTGTGTTATGGTTGATACTCAACACGTCGTGGTTGTCATCCCCACCGGTTCCAAAGCGTTTCTAATTAATTTATATTTTTCCTGAAACATGCTGGACTTCGTGTGGAAATCTGGATATTAAATAGGTGGTAGGAATATCGAAATTAACTCCGTGCTTGGCTTGTCATAAAGTCTACACTTCAGACTAGGACAGACTAGTAAAGCGTTCACTTGAAAGGAGGTGAAATAATATAATTAGATGTTATAGTCATATAACATCTAAACAAGGTGCGCTGTCGACCTTTTTTGACATACCTAGGTTAGGTTAGGTTAAGATTTTGTATTATATTATTATCTTATTGGATGTCTACGATATTTGTTCTAGGAGGTGCCATGGGATATTATCGACAGATGCGCTCTCCCAATAGTTCTGTGCCATGCGCTGGCTGTGGTTTTGTCTGCTCTACTTAACGCCTTCCATATCAGCCAAATTTCCGTCTTTACCTTGTTCCTGTGGTTTTCTATATCGGTCACCGGTTCGCTGTGGTTTTACCATAACTTACAGGTTAGTGGTAGCAAAGTTTATTTAGTTATACTGTAAAAACATTATTTCGTTCACGACACTTTTGAATACTGGTGTATGTAAATTTTCATTTGCAGTGTTATATATTATATTAGTAAAAATATGTTTGCCATATTCAAATCTCATTTTAGTTATTACTTGCAGTGACCAACGTAAGCTATACTAAACTCCTAATTAATTTCAGTTTTTCTCATAATTTATAAAGTTCTGCAGACATGCTTCCATTTGACCTATTCATAAACACTTGCATCTAGTGATATATTTGAAACTTTATTTAGCCTGTTATTAAAAGATACAAACGAAATCAGATAAAACTAAAAATAGACTAAAATGACGTGAAAGAGAGTAACAGCTGAGTTAATTCGGTAAGCTCATAAGAATTTAGAATTAAGATTAAAAGGCTAGAGAAACTTATATCGTCTAGTGTGGGTGTCGCGTTGGATGTAATACTGAATTTCTTTTAAACACTTGGCGCACTAAAGATATTACATCTGCAGATTAATACATGGCTTGTGGGCGGTAGACAGCATCTTAATTTTTAAATCACATTTTTAAACTCAATGTCAATTTGGACCCATCGAGTTCATGAATATAAAAAAGTTTTAACAGCAAGGATCTAAAAATTGACGATTTAAATATTTAATCTGAATGGAGATGTTTAGCAAGTAAAAGAAAAAAAAATAAAGTCGAAAATACGACTTGAGTAATAAAAAATGTTTACTTTTAAAAAAAAACGATAGCGTCAAATTCTAAAAATTTACGTGTTTTTTCTGAAATTTCAATTAATAACTCTCCACTATTATATTCCGATTTGGGAAACACATGTTAGGTTAACTATTTGGTAGGTCAAAAATTTGAAAACTAAATTTATATGTTTAGTTATAACCAAATCAATATAATGCACTCAAGAGCAAAGCATTACATCTAATTAAGATCAGTATTAAGTCATTGAGCGTGTAATAAAGTAGAAATCAATAGAAATTCAGATTCCAAGAGATTTAAACTTCACTCTATAACTGCAACTTAGTTTATAACAAGCACATTTTGTGTCCCGGGGGCAACACTGAACGCGTCGGCTGCGCTAGTTTCCGATAAGTAAAACAGTTATTTCATTCAGATTTCCCACAATTTCACTTTGCTAAACATCGTTTAGTGTGATTAAACATTTCTCTGAGCATGCATAATAATTAGCATTGTTTGTAGTTTACACGAGTAGTACATATTTAAATAAAACACATTCACGGTTTCATACGCGAAATATATTCGTTATCTTTAAAATTTCGCGTTTTAAACTCAAAAAATTTAGTAAGTAGTGTTTCCATAGATCTTGTTTTTGATTATAAAACAATAATCATAATAATTATAAAGAATAAGTAGACCAGATCCCTTCTGAAAAAGGCAGCACAAAGCGAAAATAACGTATTCTGAAACGAATTCTTAGCTTTAAATATAACACTTTCAACGGTTTTAACAGCGAAATACATTATTTGACTTATTTTTAATTTATTTTAGCTACGGCGAAAGGTTTCGGGAGCGGAAGAATTCTTAGCTGTCTATTATACATTTTTAGTTGCGTGTCAGAATTTATACAAAAATAAATCAAATTCTAAACTTTGCAAAGAAATATATATAAGTTTAATTGCACCAAATCTGCAGCTAAGCTGCAAAGCATAAGACGTTGAAGGTTGAAATTACATTGCGCGATAGGTCAATAAGTTGAAAAAATTCGACGATGATGTGTCAAGGTTTCGTTTCTATAAAACAACCCTTGACTTTTGTTTAATTGGCCGTACTTCTCTGAAAAGAAAAATTGAAAAGTTTCAAAGTCCCCTAAACTCAAACAATGTTACTGAAATTATTGTTCTCGAAACAAAGAAAGCTTCGCACCCACTGCGATATCAAGAGCCTTATAATTCATCTGACTCGGCTTTAGCACAGAATGAAGAAAAAAAAAACAGTTTCGGCAATCGATCTATGTTACATTTTAACAGCAGTCCGAAAAGTGATGTACCTGCACCGTTACCACGACATCGGACGAAAGAGCGGTTTTCGCCGTGATCGTAAAGTCCTTTTGGTTTATTCAGTATTCTGTGAGCTTTTAATTCCCACACATGTCATTTATGACGTTAGCGCAGTGTAATAACAACCTAACTAATTATAGTAATTAATCTCTACTGCGTTAGATTACAGGTATGTTAGTTTTTGTTACATTGTAACTGTGCACGTCTGTATGGACATAATATGTATATATCTATTTAGAGGTACTTATATATTATATAGGGCTAGCGTAATGAAATTCAAAGGAATACGTAAATAATAATAGCTGAAAAAGTTAATTATGGATTTATTTAAATGTGGGTAGAAATATAAATGCTTTCGAGCTTATGTGAACTCTTTGCAACTGCTATTTTATGGCAAAACTTAAAAAGCTCCTGAAAATTGCTTAATATCGCAGTCTACAGATATACATTACAAAGTTTAAAAAATCTCTCTTACGACTAAAATTTTTGCGGAATAAAATAAAAATTTATATTCTGTTCAGTTTAACTTAAAGAAGACTTAAAGAATGTTCTATATAAAATCTAATATTAATATAAAGAGTAATATCGAGCAAGCAAGCTCAACTTAAAACTATTTTTATTAATTTACGTCATTTTTGGTTCCTAATAAGAATTTTGTTTGCTTAATTCGACAATCTTTAAAGAGCTCCGCTGATTTTGATATTACGCTTGACTGATATAACCCAGTTTCATTAGCATATGAGCGCGTGTAATCCTCTCCCACGAACTTTAGTGCACGTGCTGAATTTAGCCGAAAGCTTCTCTGCATTGTCACCAAGTTCGGGCAAACGTGTGGGCACTAGTTGCGAGGTACATTTAATTACATATTCAATTATATTAACCTTATACCTTACAGTGCCAGGAATTTGAATCTAATGTTTTACTTACTATCCTATACTGCTCCAGTATTCAACATAGTTTGTTAGTTAAACATTAACATTTCAGGTCAGTTAGTTTGAAATGAAACAGAAATTAAAATTAGCACTTGTTAGTCACTTTTCCAATACATTTTAATGTTTTCAGGATTTTTTTATTTTTGTGGAAAAGTCATTATATACGCAACAATGCAATTAATGTACGAATACTTAAATTAAAGAAAAATCATGTTACACTCAATCGAATACAGTCGCAGACTCATTAAACCAAGTTAACGTGTACTTTTGGAGCTACAAGTTGATATACCTTCCCATTTATCTTTACAAACTCGTTAGCAATTAGATTCAAAGATGGAATTACAGTAAACATCCGCGCAATTCCTCTATCGAAAGTTCCCCCATTTACGCACTAGCCCTAACCTAGATATTAAGCAAGTTGAAAACTGGCAAGCGTCCTGAAGGAAAACGTAGGCGTAATGTTTTATAGCCATGGTCCCATAGATATCCCAAAGGTCATGCGAACGTGGGACGAAGAAAAGCAAAGATTTACATAACACACTTTACTCCGTAGATAAAATTCAGCGAATTTGCTGTGGCGGCCAATAATACTTTTCATTCAGAGATGACTCACTACGGCGAGTCGCACTAAGTTAACTACGAGTGATTCGTAAACTGGCGAATCACGACGCAGTCATTCATTTCGTTCAATACTATTGTCGGTCGTTACTCCTACGCTTGGCTTAGTAGCACTACTGATTTCGTTATTGAGTTCTCTCGAGGTGCTTTTGCATTGCGAGACTGGAAATGCTAATTTCTCTGGCTCATTCTAAGCCAAAGTGGCGGAATAGAAAACGCCATTTTAGTAAAAAAGTATTTTTTTTTATACGTCAACAAGTATTTAGCGTAAACTATCACTATTACAAATGCGAAAGTACATTTGAATTATGTTTGGTACTATTTATCGGAAAAATTATTGAGTATTATCTGTAGTTTATACAAGAAGTACAAATAAATTATATTTTATATTTTTAGTTGTGAACCGTTAAAAGTGGAACTCGGGTTATACCCGATAAAAAGCTAATAGTAACATGGAAGAATAATATAAAATTTTCTTTGTTACTTCGAAATACGGCCTTTAATCTTCATGATAGAGAATATTTATTCATCGGAAATAGAATAATAATGTTTAAACGGCTACTGAGTCACATTCCATTGAAGCGAAAACCTTTAGGGAAAACCCTGTGACTAAATTTTATGAATGAAATAAGGTATACCAGAGGGTCAGCGAGTCCATTATGAATGGAGCCGCTAGTGAGGTAAGAATAGCACTTGCCCAGGTTTTGAGCGGTTTAGGCAATGTACACAGCTATGTGTTTGCTAGTTCGTCTAAATTTAGACTGCGCTAATATTGTGCCTGAACCGTGCATTTACCCTATTAATTTTGTGTTCTATCGCTGCATATTGAAATCTAAATATTTACATCGCTGTTAGGGTTATTATAGATTCACGATGATGTCTAGTGGTTTGAGATCACACACATGAGATCTACGGTTCTGTTCCAAGTTGGAGATAATCTTACTCGTACAGCAGCGTAAAACTCACGCTTTTTAAATCTTTATATTATGTTTATATAAAAGTTCTTTCTTTTTTAACAATGAGAAATGTGTGTAGCCTATTTATAGGCTATATCCCTGTATGGTAAGTTTTAAAAATAACCGACGTTTCACTTTTAATTGACTCCATTTTCCGGCGTTGGAATTTCCCAACATTTTTATAAGCATGTGAACAATAAAGCTATTATACTGTAGCTATTTTTCACGAATATTTAACAAGAGCCATCAAAAAAGGCAACATCACGGCGGTGGTGTTTTGTTTTATTAATTGTTTCGCTTCTATAATATATCGAAAATGTTTGTATCATATAACAAGCAATTTGTTTAAAAAATACATCTTCTTTAAATTTAACTAAAAGTATATTAGTAATGTTTTATTTTAAATTTGGACAATTGAATATGTGCTACTCACTTAAACTACAGACCATACTTAA